AGGACAAATTGAAAAGATGCAGAGAAGATTAAAACTACTGAGGTCATTTTACAGTTAATGAATTGATAGTGGGAAAGTCTTGTGCACAAACTACATTCAGCAAACTTCCTCATTTGTGACAATAGATCTGTTTGCTAGGATCGTTACTTTTAAGAATGCAATAAAAATCTCAGAAGAACATTAGTTTTATTGATGTCCATCAAAAGTTACTGTTGGGTCTTAGTGTCAGTCTAAATGAAATGTAAATTGGACCTTTTAGAAAAGCCCCCTACTGTCCCCTGGCTAGCACTCTCCTGCTCCCCCATTCTCCATGACGGGGTAGAGCTGGTTTGACATTTTTTGCATATGTTTTATGTCAATTCTAGTACTATGAAATACGCATTAAACTAAACCAGTTTCAAGGAGCTTCCCTAAATGTTTAAGTGCTCCTGTAGAAGCTAGAAGGATGCAATATTTATGTATTGTCTAAACATTTAAAGTTCCCCATCCTTCTCTTTGGACAGAGTGTGGTTTGGATGATTCAGTGCACTTTGAGGACTGAAATAAAATATTATAGTTTCTTTCCTGCTATTATTGCAGCAGCGCACGATTAAACATTAGATTGAAGATGAACTGCTTATTGAAGTGCTTCTAATGGTCAATGGTGGGGACGTGTTGATTCCACCATTTGTCTCATTCGGATGCCATCTTTTTCCCACTCAGAATCACAGACCTGCTATTACGACCATGTAGCTAAAAGAGGCCTCTTCAGCTGGTCAAACATTGTTTAAAAGATGGGAGAAACAGCTTTTTTTTCCTCACAAACCCACACACCAATAATAAACACACCCTTTTCCATAAAAGATCAACTTTATGTCATTTTCCCAGTGGAGTGGAGCATCTGCAGCAGATCAGCCCTTCCTCTCCTTCACTCCCTCCTCTCTCCCTCTATCTGCTGCCCACTTGTTTCCACTCTTTTCCCCTGCTGTTGCTCAGTTATTTTTCCGCTTGTCTTTTTCCCTGATAAGCAACATTTGTAATTGGTTTAAAATCATCACTGTTGTTCTATAAAAACAAAAATGCACATAGATGTGTGTAGGCATTGTGTCCAGATCCTGATAGAGCTAGAGACAAATGATGGCAACAGTAACACTTTTTCTTTCTTAGAGAGTTCAGAACTTTCAAATGCATTATCGTGGTACCCTTGACACTAACATTCTATGTTGCCTTCATTATGGAATTGAGCTTCTGCGTTGTGTGTACTTGAACCTTTTCCCTGTCTTGACAAAAGCAGTTCAACAAGTAATTTCCCACTGTTTTGTTAAACAGATTATGAAGTTTAACCATTAGAATTAGCTTGTTCTCTGGTGGAACAGGAAAAGTGGGGTTACATGGAAAAACAAAGATGCTTAGAAAATGACTTGATTGGTCATCTTTATTATCGGCTTGAGAACAACTTGTACCGCCAACATTTACAAGTCCGTGCTGGACTTTTCGAGCGCTCCAGATGCTAAAACTACAAGTTCACACAGTGGAAGTCCCCCTTCTTGTGCATGCTGTTAATGGAGCGGACCTGTCCACACAACACAGCGGACACAGAAATTCCCATGGCTGATCATCATCTACAGTCATGGGCGGCTTCCACCCCCTCCATGTCGCCCACCCTCTATCCCAATGCAACAAAGAGGAAAAACAAATCAAACAATTCACAGTTTCCCATTATTCTCTCTGTAAGCATATGGTTCCAATCAGCAGAGTGTGTGTGTTTGCGCATGTGTCAGTTTGTGTGACACCATGTGAATGTTTTTATTTTCCATACATTACTCTTCAGATACAAAGCTCTTTGTTCACACTCTGTCTCCATCTCTGGGGCTCCTCCTTCCTCTCACGCCCTCACCATCTTCCATCTCTCCATCTCCCTCCAAGACCATGTTTGATTCTCAGATATAAAGTCTCTCTTTTCGCTCTCTCTCCCTCTATTTTGGTCCTGCTTTTCTTGGCCGCAACTCAGACCTCAGGCAGACCTAGAGGTCTTTTTCCCAAGCGATCTCCAGGGTGGACTCCAGGGAACAGGACACACACTCGCATGCACACGTGCACGGCCCTCATATGCTCCGTCCATTTCCTCCTCTGCCCCTGCTCCTATCCCATATCGCTCTCTGTCTGCACCTCCTTGTTGATTCATACTTTGCTGCTGCAATTTCACAGTGTGTCACCGTAATGCTTTACTGGACGAAAGAGAACACAGTGTTCAAAATCAAGTGTTGTGCTCCAGCCTGGGATTCACTTTTTGCATCACATCCATCCGGTTATGCATTACCAGCTTTTTGGATGTGTTGTAGTTTTCTTTGTCCAAGGGAATTTCTTTCTGGGGGATATGTTCTCAGTTTCTCCACATGTGACTGAAACTAGTGCAAACTACAAATAGTGACAAATTTCCATTTTGTATATACAATCTTGTTCAAAGGGTTAGGGTTGTTTTTTGTGTTTACTTTGAATTGTTAAAATATTGAATTCTTGACATTTCTCCAGCAATTTGAGATAGCAGAGAAGAGTAAAACCACTATGAAAAGATTTTAATTTCAGGTAGTTTTATGCATAAGCCTGACTGCATACTTCTCCATTTCTAAAGTGAACTAAGTTCTTGTTTGTTTTTTTTGTAATAATCATTGCTGTCTTAATTAAATCAAGCCCAAAGACTTTTGTCCTCTGTGCGGATATCATTGTGCTCAAAAGACATTTTTGAAAAGTAAAAAAGAACATTTTTACCAGGTGCTAAAATATATCAATGCATTAAGCTTTGTGAAAGTTATCCACACTTTCATGAGACTGAAATACATCAACAGAAACTACTTTTTCAAAAGAAGTATACTCCATCCAGACTATTGTGCATTAGATTATCCCTGGAAAATATGATGGTCGCTGCCAGTGATATTTGTTGTCCTCAAGACTCCAACAAAGCTTGGATTTTATCATAAACCCTGTGGCCTGCTTGTCCTCATTTGGTAGTGTATTGTTGCTTTTGTCGAAACTTGAAGCCATTACTACAAATTTAAATGTTAATCCTTTAGTTATTTGGAAACTGGAAGCATACTCACAAACACTGAGGCTGCTTTATTACTCCCATGATTAAACCTTTAGTAAGCTTTATATATGGACTAAAATAGAGGAGTATTGTGCTATATTATTTTGAAAAGGCTAAAGGAAAGATTTCTTCTCATAGACAAAAGATAGTTCACAGCACACTCCCATAGAGTGAGATAAACCCATCCTGGACCCTCAGAACTTTCTGCCATGAAGGAGCAAATGTCCAGCAAAGAGAAAAGCAGCAACTAGGAAAGCACATATCTGATTATGGCCCAGCACACACTGAGATCCGTGATCAGGATATGAACTATGGACTACGGAGTTGGGAATGAGCCACTCATTTAAGCCATTTCAACATTTTCTTTTTTTCTTTTTACTTGGCACAAATGTTCATCCTCCTTCATTTTGTGGTGAAAGGTGACAATGGAGAAACACTCAGTACTGAAACCATGAGGAATTATCTTAGTAATATGTTATTTTACAAATTCTGCCCAGAACATCAGATACGTTTAGAGGTTCTGAAATACTTCAGAAGAATTTCTGTTGTTTTGCCTCATGGAATAGTACATGTACCAAAAAATAAAACGTTTTTAAACTGTCCAGATAGCTCTTAAAAATGGTCGGAGCACACAGCAAAAAGTTAGACATGACTTTTTTAAATAAATGCAAAACAGATTTTCATGCTAATATGAGGACTTTCCACACATGGTTTAATATTAAAGAAATCTGAATGTGAATGACAGGATCAGGAAATATGACATTCTGCATATGTTCATAGAAAAAAAGAAGTCACTAACGAGACCCAAAGGTCATTGTTATAGTGAGCAGTCCACCCATTTAAATGTGTAAAAAAGCTGATAGAATCTGAGCATGAAGTCAGTTTGTGTAAGGAAACAGGGCTACAGCGCCTCCTCGTGGTGATGTAGGGTAGTGTCCACAGCTTTATATTTCTGTTAAGGAATAACTTTGTTTCAGGGGGTTGTTTTATTCTTTAACATTAGCAATAGGTTTCTACCTTCTAATAAGCTTCTGAGAAATATATTTTCGAAATATAGATGAGCATGGTTGTGTCACAAATGCATCAAAAACCGTTTCTGGTGTTGTGCTCTTACATTTTTGCACAGTCCGTCCTTTCCATCAGTTGATCTAAATGAAGCCCAACATGTGACCCACGTGAAATGTCGGCACTGAACGACAGCAGTATGTTTTATTATCTACCGGCCATTTGAATTTTTATGCATTTCCACCTCCTGCTGGCACTAGATAAACAGAATTGAGTTGGGATAGTTTCAATCCTGGCCAAAACTAATAAAAACACTTAAATGAGATTGCGGTCGTCGACATTGCTGACACAGATCAGTTCAATCATGTGGTGACTGTTTGGAATTCCTTTCTGTATTACACATACGTGTGAGTGAAATAAGCTGCACGATGAGGCAGTTGTCTTTTTTTTATGTTCTTTTGGTGGTTTTTAATTTTATGCAGTTGGTAGTATGATCTGTACAAGTACTGTTTCCCTTTTTAGAGTTTTTATGTAGAAGCAGTGTCAACTGATATATGTGGCAGAACTACTTACTATGTTACTGTAAATGTTCTATTACTTTTTTTAACCAACAATAAAACATACACCTTTGAGAAAAAAAAAAAACACCAGTGAAACAAATCAGGCTCTCAGTAATTCATTCCAGTTTACAGTGACAATCATCATAATGGAAACTACACTGAAATGATAGGGAAGGTGTGTATTGAAGGAATAAGCAGATAATCAAGTCCAACCACGGTGTAAATGATGAAAATCCAGAAGACAAAACCTATTTTATTTTTCTACATTGCAGGACAGCTCAGACTGGTCAAGTTGCTCCTTCCATGGGGAACTCTGCCATTTGTCTCCTTAAAGCTGGACTGATTCTCACAGGCTTTCAACATATCGGCATCTAGGCTTTCTTATCATCATCATCATCATTATCATCATCATCATCATCGCTTCCTGCCATGCTGCTGTCGGTGGAGCCCACCTCCTGCTCCTGCTGCCCTGGAGACGGGGCTTCTCTTTGTGGTCGCTGCTCGGGCTGTGTGGTGCTGGAGGGCTCGCTGGCCTCTGTGGCCGGACGGCTCTCTGTGGCCGCGCCGCTCTCTGTGGCCGGGCGGCTCTCTGTGGCCGCGCCGCTCTCTGTGGCCGCGCCGCTCTCTGTGGCCGCGCCGCTCTCTGCTGGTTTGCTCGGGTTGGTGTTGTTTTTCTGCTGCGTTTGATCGCCTGTCTCTAAGAATGAAGACCAACCCTTTAGCCGCTCCTCCCTCTCACGTGCCGTCTCTTCAACCTGCACAAAAGTAACTCTGATCAAACAGGCAGATTGACCCCACATTGTGGACATCACATTGCAGTACATCTGACTGCTTTAAAAGGATAGAAGATATTGGCATTTTTGCCTGCTGTAGCGTCTCACCTGATAGTCGGTCACTCCATCCCATAGCAGTGCCGACAGCTGCCTTCCCCCAAACCACCGGCCGTTAAATGACAGGATGCACGCATCGGCTTCCTCTGGCTCCTTAAATGCCACAGATGCAACGCCGTCCGGATGTCTCTGGAACACATGCCACCTCCTTTTATGATGCTAAGGATTCATTGAAACCATCCGTCGCCAGAGTTTTGAAACAACACTAACTCAACTCACATCAAAAAGGATGACCTTCTTCACTTCTCCAAACTTCTCACACTCCGACCGTAGATCCTCTCGATACTCATTCAGAACCAAAGGGTCTTCCTGCAAGAGCCAACCAAGGAGGCACAGAGATTCAGCACACGACACACTGACTGTGAGCGAGTGAGCGGGAAAGGGTGTGTTTGTGCACACGTTCCACCTCAAAGTCACTGGGATGGAACATGTTCCTGATGATGACCACTTTTTCATGCCTCTTCCGCACTTCTCCTTTCTTCTCAGGCCTCCAGTCCAACTGTCTACATGAACACAAACAAACAAAAATCAGGCACAACTCATGCTACCTTTAAATAATCATTCTGGGGGGGTCATAAAGAGTGTTTGGGACGTTGACATTCCTCAGTTAGCCTTGGCTTTAACTTAGTGAATATTATCCATCACTTCAGCTTTTGAAACTAAGACAGGACTCTATTAAAATAATAGCCTGTGAGGTGTTAAACAAAAAGAAAACATGGTTTACTTCTGCTGCTGCTGGAGCTTCTTCCTGTAATCTTTATTTTTCTTCCTCTTCTTGCTGGCATCGTACTGGCCTTTTAGCTCAAATCGTGCTGCTTCCACATGGAGTTTATAGCCTCGGACCTCTGACTCATCAATCAGACGCAAAGCCAGTGCCACTGATTCCTTCTGCAGGGAAACATAAACACACACACAGACATCGTCATTTCACCAGCGTAATGGAATATTAATACTTGCATTTCGAAAGACAGGCAGACCTTCAGATAGCAGCAGAGGCCGTCTCCCTTCAGATTTCCTTCCCTGTCCTTGTAGAGTTTCACTTTGTACTCCTCAGTGATGGGGTCCCGCATCACAATGCCACATTTAGACATCAACTCAACAAACTCATCAGAGGTTATATCAAGAGGCAGACCTGGGGACAAATGGAAAAACAATACGCAAAAATGAAGTAAAAGGGCAATAGCTTAAAAAGAGCTAGCTACTCCAGAGTCTAAGGTACAAACCTGACACATAGACGTTTGTGTTCTTGTCATTATCAATATCAAACCATCCTACAAGCAAAAAAAGAGAAAAATATATATACATGAAAAGCAGAAATATTTTCAATAAACAAAATCATTTTTGAAAAAGTTCTGTTTCAGTGGGGTATCCAGTGTCATCGCACCATTTCTGTCTCTGTTTACCTGGCTCTGGTTTCCTTTTTTCCCCTTTCGGTTTGGTTTCTTTCGTGGGTGTCTGCTGCTCCGGGATAGGATTTTTGGTGGAATCTAACAACTTCTCCTTTCCTGGTGGCTTGCTTTTTGGCTCAGGAACTGGTGGGCCAGAGCTGCTCAGTGCTGCACTGTTTGCATCTGGATCTCCTTCTTTGGTGAAACCATAGTTGGCCTGGTAGGCTGCGATGAAGTCTTCTGTGATCTACAAACACAAAGCAGAAAAGTTTTGCATTAGAGAAGAAGAAAGATGTGAAGTACAAGTATAGAGCTGATTTCGCTAAGCCAATGCTGACGACTGAAAAAGGTCATACTTTAGGGAACCAGGCTTTCTTTTCATAGTCCCAGTCATACACAGTCCCATCCTCAGGATCAGTGTACGTTAACGGGTCAGAACCATCTTCATTTTTCTTTCCATAGAGTTCCTGCATCCGCAGCTGCTCCATAAACGCTTTGTTTGCATCCGATTCTCTGCTCATCTGCAAAAACAATGTAGCATGCAAGATTAGGTTGGTTTGCAAGCTAATGGGTTAAATTCTTCTTTGAACATCAAAAGAGCAGAAAGAAACCATTAACTCAATCACAAAATACATATTAGCTTATATATTATCTAGAATAGCTTGAAAATGGTACGTATTGTTATGTCGTGGCCTTCTCCTAATTGTTGCAAATATTAACTGACAAAAAAATGGTGCTAACTATGTTTTTACACGGGTTAACGTGCAACTCTTGATGCTACCTTTAATGAAATATGAAACATGGGTTCAGTTAGCGCGTTAGTTTAGACACATTGAACTCCACTGTCCATTTTATGCTGTGATGAGGTTCAGTTCAGTGGTAATTTACTTATACTTTCTTCATTTCTACACATAGACACTCATTAAAAGGGTTGTAAGATAATGTATGTAAGCCAACACGATTAGCATTACCTTTAAAAACGTCTGAGTGCTGCGAGCAACAACGAAAGAAACACTTGCGATAAGACGCCGCCACAAATTAAACTAACTAACTTTTGTGTTTTCCAATGATTTCGTGTTTAAAATTACTATTTTTGATTTTTTTTTTCATCCGTTTGAACGTGTTGAACAGATTGCTATCGTTGGGTTTCAACCCCAGTCCGCGACGACACTTGAAGGAAGTGTTTCCGAGGTCAGAGACCTAAGACGCATGCGCGACAAATTGGACAAATTCGCTCGATTTGTGCTGTGGCACCCCCCGATTTTATCGTGCACGGTGCAAAATGACCAATCACTGCGCCGGAGTTCGTTGAGGGAAGTATAATCGACTGCACATCTCGTGGAACAGTTCAGCTAGGTTTCCCCTTAGTGCAACTAACAGGTTTACACTAATATAACCTCTTGTGTTGGGAATGGCGGAGGGTAGCAGTAACGTGAACGTTAATCCGGGCGCCCTTCCTCCGGGTGACCCGCAGCTCATCGGTATGATCGTGGAGCACCTGAAGAACCGGGGGCTTTTTGACGAGTTCCGTCGGGACTGTTTGGCTGATGTTGACACAAAGGTTAGCGCTGCTCTTTACTTTAACTTCAAACAAAGACAGCCTTCTTTGTTTTCTTTCCCTTTTCTTTTCAGCAGAGCTTGTGCCCCTGTGCGGGGTTTATTGTAATACTTTGTTGCTAACTTAAATGGCCGGAAACGAGCCGGTTTCGGTGCCCTGCCGGGGCAGAGTGATGACCGCCAGCTGCTGCTGTCTGTTCCAGCCCGCCTACCAGAACCTGCGGCAGAAAGTGGACAACTTTGTGGCCTCGCACCTCAGCTCGCAGGACTGGAGCCCGTCCATCAACAAAAACCAGATGAGGAACGGACTGAGGCAAAGCGTCGTTCAGTGAGTGATAAGGTCACATGACACGGACAGGTTTTTTTTGCCCTGAGTTTGGTGAAGTTTTTATCTGAACGTCTACAGTGTTCTGACGTTATTGCACATATGCACCACTCCTTTATTATCCTCATGACAATGAAAAAATAAGATATCATCTTACTCCCTTTGTAACTAGACATTTCAAGTTTTATAGTTGCATTCCAACTCAGCTGTCTACCCTGGGCTGAAATACTTTTTGCTCTTTACAGTGTTGTTGTGAGCAGTAGTTTGTGTGTTACACATGCTAATACAGTCAAATAAACTACAGCTTGGATTAAAACCGAGGTGTTCGAGAAAAATAATAACTTTTCATTTGTTTTTGTTTTTTGTTTTTTCCTCAGGTCAGGCATGCTGGAATCTGGTGTGGATAGAATCATAACTCAGGTTGTGGATCCAAAGATGAACCACACTTTTCGGCCGCACATAGAAACAGCCATCCATGACTTTCTCTCCGGGGACAGGAAGGAGGACAGCACGTCCAGTTCCTCTAACCCTGCACCACCTGAACAGACAGAAACCATGGAGGCTCCCTCCGCCTCTGGGCCCAAAACCCCCTGAGGGGAGTCGGAAAAACTGAAAAAAAAGGGCAAATTAAGAACCCTTTCCTTTGCGACAGGCACTCACTGTCCACTGGCCCACCCAGAAATCTGTGTGGTGTGCTGGCCCAGCGTCAGAGAAGTGGAAAGTGAAGAGGATGAAAAGGTTGTTTTCCTCTGTCTCTGAATGGATTAGAATCAGGACTGCTTCATTGCCCGTGTGTGCTGCAGAAAAGCTACTGCTGGAGGGGTGTGAACAAGGCAAAGCGGAGTGCTGTTACAGCGCTGTGCAGCTCTGCCTTTCAGACACAGGATTCTTATTTTTCTGGTACTGGCCTTTTTTTAATTTGTGTTTTTAATTCAGCTGTATAGTATGTAATGCCAGGATTAAGTTGTGCTACACATTTTCCATTAATATGCCGACTATTTTTATTAAGGCTTGCTAATTGTTTACGCTGATTGAAATCATGCATGAAATCAATGGGGTTGTTTCATTTCTGTTTGGAGGATCAGAGGGAACCCATGCTGTGAGTCCAAACAACTCTAATTCATTTAGTTAACATGTAGCAGTCTTTTTTTCCTTTTGTTTTAAATCAGAATACCTTTTCAATCATGTGCATGTTTTTATGGTGTGGCGCTGATAGTGCATCATATTTGCTTTAATAAAAAAAACAGATCATGTTTATTCTGCTATTTTTCACTATATGAACCTGTTTGTGCTTCTTTAGTTGTCCGTCACTAAGAAACCCCCTGTTACTCTGTTATGTGAAGACGTTGCCAGTGTAATTACTGTTTACCTTTTAAAGGAAAGTGTTAATTTTCCTCTTTGTTTCAATCTCATAAGCATCCACGACCATGAGCTACACCAGGTGGAGTAAGTGGACCCTGCTTGGCTAGAAAAAAAATGTTTATCTTCCCTGGGCTGGAAATTGAGTGTTTTGAACTATAGTTGACCCTAATAAGACAAATTATTAACCTGTTTAAGACAACAAAGACTATTTTCACTCATCCTAAAAGCGGCTGGAGCCGCAAAGACTACCGGAAGAATAATGTGTGTAACAGTCTCACAAATCAGCCAGAGAACAACAGCAACATTTGAGTACTATGACTATGATTTAGTACCAACGCCAGAGGAGCTGGCAGAAGTGGCCGGTGAGAGGGAAGTCTGGGACACTTCCACATATACAGTGGGATGTTTGAGTCTAGCCAGCAAACTTCCAACCTAAGGGAACCACTTTGCTCCTGACCTATAGCCTGCTGCATGAGAAGTCCAAACCAAACTCTGAAATCTAAAAAAAATCCCGTATACACATAAAGGAAGTGTACGTTATACTTATCTTATCAGATTACATGTGAAGATAACTGTAAGTGCCCCCATTTCTGTCCTTTTTAGTAAACGAAAAGAAAAGCAATGTCTTCACAAAAACACAGTATGGAAAAACATTGTCATACCATGTGTTTCAATGTTTAGAAAGTGGCAGGTTTGTTCTTGATCCAGTATTTATAACTCTGTTTACATTCCATTCAGTTTTGGGGAAAGAGTTGCATCTCAGAGCCAGTTTTTAGCCGCAAACAGACTGAAATGAAAGTCTTGTGTTGTCACATCACAGCTTGCGTAACTATTGACTGCAGTGCTTGTTTTTGGCAAGCGAGAGATACACACTAACGCACATATGCGTATGACAGTCTTTACACTGACTTGGAGACAACTGTTTTGTAGAACCGAGTTTGTTACCATCTCTGATTCTTCCTTTTTGAGTTAGAAGTAAAAGATCTGCAAACCTAAAGCCCACTTAAATATCACTCAAACACCCTTCCCCTTTAAGGATACCTTGAAGGGGAGTTTGTGTGTTTTTTGTAAAATGTAATAATTAAAAGGGTTTTCATTGATGGGGGAGTTAGCATTGTGGTCAAAATATTGTTCGAATCAGGGTTTTCTGTGAAGCTAAACATATTAATATAGATGTTAAAAGGGAGCCAGTTTAGAGTGGCAACTGGAAATCTTCCCACATGGATATCCGTCCATTTTCCATGCCTTCTAAATCACATTTAGGCTCACAGTGGAGCTGAAGCCATTACTAGTTCCCATTGACAAACCACCATACAGGCCAATCTTAAAAAAAGAGTGAGAATAAAAATTATCATTAACAGAAATAACAGCGTTAATGAAGATGAATTACGTCCAAGAACTGTTTTGAGTTTTGTGTCCTGTTGTAGAAAGCAGAAATCACAGGAGCTTAAGTGGGAGCTGATCGTCCAGCCACACTTGGGTGTAAATTCTCTCCAGACCACATACTTGTGTGTCAGTTCTGTGTATGAACAGACACACAGAATGCTGTTTACACCGCATGACCACGTGGGCCAGCAGAAAAGCCCCACATGTGTGCTGTTTGCACAGTCTGCGCATTAGTGTAGCATCTGGGGTACGTGGATGTGAGGGGTCATTGAGTGGGCGGTCACCTGAGGCTGTGGGATGTTGTTTTTAAGTAGATGGAGATTGAACAGGCTAAAAAAAGTCAAAATATTAGCCCCTGTGGAAATATGTCTTCCCTGACTGGGCCCCAAAATGAGCACACACATAAACAATCTCTGTCCTTCTACCTTGACCTCCCGCTGCAACACAAACACACTCTTACCTTATAATGAACCACAGCAATGACGGCTACCTCATCCATTTTTCTGAGCCCCCCCAAAATGTATCTACAAACTACGGCCCAAAAACAAAGGCTCCACTACATTTGTAAGGTTTTAGGAATCCAAAAGTGGGGCCAATGTGTTTAAAGAGGTTACTGGGGTTTTTAAAAAACTAGATTTTATGCAGATAATAGAACCAGTGAGTACGTGTGTGTACGTGCGTGTTGGAAAGTATTGTGTTTTCCCCCTTTGGACAATCGTAGTAGCCTACATTTGTTCTGGACATAACAGAGACTCAAAGGACTGCTACACCACTAATTACAGCTTTAATAACAGATAGCTAATCATTTTATAAGCAGGTTCACGTTGTGCTTCAGTCGTTGGGCGTTTTGTAGGAGAATACTTTGGTCTTAATCTACAGAGGAACGCGTTTTTACCAGCCGGGCCTTGAGTAATGTGCGCTTCAATAACAGTTTAGAGAACCTGACCCTCCTCTCGTACATCTCCCCCTCTGTCGGGTCGGGTGCGTTACGCGTTCCTCCGCCAGCAGAGCAGCTGGGAGCCTCAGTTCAGACAGGCGCGCGCGCGCCCGCGAGACGGCTTAATTGGCCCGCGCGCGCCGCTGTGGGCCTCGCGATTCCCATTTAACGCAGAGTTAGCGGTGCTAACCGTCTCCGTTCGGCTGTTTTCCCCCCTGGGCGAACTTCTCGGGGTTCCGCGGGCCGCGGCAGCTGCTTTCTGCCTCGCAGTTTCCAGAGTTTACGGCTGAAAAAAAAAAAAAACAACGAAAAAACTTTCGACTCCACGTGTGCTGCGCGTTCCCAGCCCCCCTCGCGCTGTGATTGGTGCGGGGCTCACGCTCCTCTCTCTTCGGTGGACGTGCGGCTGTCCGGCGGCTTTAAAAATGCTCCCCGCGTGCCGCCGCCGCAGCATTTGAACGGCCGGACGCTCGCCAGAGAAAATAGGAATCTGCTCGGAAACTATGCGGCACGCCAGAAAGACGGAGCCGTCCCCAGGTGTGCCGGTGAACGCTTCCCCCGGACCTCCTCCCCCGCTCCTGCTGCTGCTCCTGCTGCTGCTCTGTCACCAGGTGCTGGCCGAGGACCCGCGCGACGTCCAGGACAAACCGGGGAGCCATCTCAAAAAGCGCCTCTCTCTCCAGAGCACGGGTAAGTGCGGGTAAAACTATTTGCATCCACTTAACCAGCCCGGAAGCCGCTGGATGTCCGGACGGTGGCACGTGCAAGTTCACTTTAGTTCCTCCCAAGTAGAGAGGCAGCGATGGCTGCTTCAAGGTAGCCTTAAGCTCGGCACAGACAGGGAACAGGAAGAAGAAGACTCAGAAGTGGTTTTAAAGATGAGCCCAGACCCCCCCGGCCCCTGGGGGCCAGGACCCTGCCGGGATGGTGTGCTCAGATTCAGGGAAATTGTGTGTTCAAGACAGTGTTCATTATCCAAAGTTAATAAGTTAATGAAATACGCATAAGGGATAACTAGATTAATCATTAGTTGGACTTTAAACAAGTAGCAAACCAGGTGACCTGTTCTCCCTTTGCTGCTGTCAGAAGGTTTCTGTTTTCCTGTGCCAGACAACTTGTAAAACAGCAGAAATGCTGCTGCCATTATATCCCATGTAGTGTAATGTTGCAACATGTCATTAGTGCCTGATGTCATTGTGATGGCTCGCCCTTAAGGTTCACAATAAGAACTCTCTCTCTTTCTCTCTCTCTGTGTGTTGTATGACTACAAGTAAAAACCCATCCCTGTCTCCTTTTCTGGCAGCGGAGATCCAGAGCTGCCTGGTGAGTTCAGGGGAAGTCGGCTGTGGAATGTTTCAGTGTTTCAACAACAACTCCTGCGAGATCGGAGGGCTGCACCACATTTGCCTCACCCTGCTGCACAACGCCGGCCGCTATGACTCGCAGGTGGGGGTCAGCACCACGGGCCCACTTTGTTTTCGCCCAGAAGTCAAAGTCGGCGGGAAAAGCTCGCTCAGCAGGATCTTTGGGCAGGGTTAGCGAAGACATATCTGGGTAGATGTTTTAATTTCATTTAATCCCATCAGTCATTAAGGTCATTTGTGAAGAATGTTAGTTGTATAAGGATCAGCGTATAGTTATGCGTGGTAGCATTAGTTACAGAACAATCTGAGAGGGGATCTGAAATGAGAGAGGGAACAGCTTGTCCACTTTACTAGAATAGAAATGTACGAGAAAGTAATGCAAGTCTTATATGTCCCCAGAGAGAGCAGGAGCAGTGGATGATGTCCTATAAGGATCCTTCAATGTCAAGATGTACATTTGTTTTTTTTTTAGAAAAAGTGGGTCAAGGCCTTGGAATTGTCAGGATTTTTTTCCTCCTGATTTGGATGGACTTTTATCTAGAATCTGTCCGAAAACTAATAAGACAGGAGGTGTAAAATGGTAGAAAATCTCTGTTGAGATAACCAAGACATTATGTTCAGTTAAGCAGATCAGAATGGCAGTTTGGGCTCCAGGAGGGCCCCATCCATATAAAAACCCAATGGGTGTAGCTTCTTAAGAAAGATTGGTTGGGGTGAATCGTGTCAAATGATTTCACAGCATCCTAAAAGAAGGTTACATATTAATAGAGGGAACAGGAAGTGAATACAAACCAAAATCTGAGGCGCTATCCTGACGTGGATCAATAGCAACATGACAGCTGCCATGTTTCCTATCTTTCAAAAAAGACTTGAGCTACTAGCCCTACCTGTAGATATGACCTATTCTAATACATATTATATCATATTTGACAAGTGCAACATTTTTCAGCAGAACTATAAAGTGTATGAGTTAGCTTATCTGGTGATTGTGTGTGTATTTAATGTGCCTTTTAACTAAATTAATTAAGTTGTTACTTTGATATTTCTTATTATGGCAAAGCCTCCATTTTGTCTGGGAGGTGAACGGAATGATTAACCGTGTAGCAGATGCTGCTCTGCCTGCCCACTGATTCCCTCCCCCTGTGTCTCAGGGCAAGTCGTTTGTAAAGGATGCTCTGAGGTGCATGGCGCTGGGCCTGCGGCAGCGCTTCAGCTGCGTGAGCCGGCGCTGCTCGGCGGTCAGAGAGCTGGTGTTCTCGCTCCAGAGAGAGTGCTACGCCAAACACCACCTTTGCCTGGCGCTGCAGGACCACATGGACACCATGGGGAGCCTGGTCCAGTTCCATCTCATGTTTCCCACAGGGTGAGAAAGGCACACACACGCAGACAAGTGGGGAAAAACAACATTTAGTTAGCTTTAAAAAAGCATGTGGGGGGAAAAATGAAGCCACGTTACTTCTGTAGCTAAACCCAGCGTACTTCAAAGAGGTTTAGCTGCTTATGGTGGTCAATATTTTACTAATTAGCTGTAGAGACGTTGGTTTTTAAGAATGAAAGAATGTGACTTTTCATTGCCTTGATGAGATCAGAAACACCTTCCCTGTCAGATATATCCTCTAGATAGCAAAAGAGGATGCTTCTGAAACCTGTGTATAGATGGTATAGATGGTTTTTTAGTATGACATTCTTCTTCCAAACTGAAGCATTTACCCCCACAGAGTGACATGGTGGGGTACTTTTCATCTTTCATTCTCAGTGAACTGGCATCAGTTTGTTTCCCCTCTTCCCAGCTTATGTTCTCATCATCTCTGGATAATATTCCAAAGGCACCAGCTGTTAGTCTTAGCACGTGATTGACACTGATGAGAACAGGTTCTGTTTAATTCTCTGTCCGACTCCCTCTGAGTCAGCGGTTAACCCGTGTTAACTGGCCCCCGCAGGCCCTACGTGGAGCTGATGAACTTCCTGCTAAGGTGCGGTGACGGGGTGAGGGCGTGGGTGGGGCGGCGGCTGCGGGGGCAGTGCGAGCAGCACTGGGGCGCTCTGTGCGGCAGCCTCTCCGACGCCTGCCCTCAGGGCCAGCCCGACGGCCCGCAGTCCACCACCACGCCACAGTCCACCACCACGCTACAGTCCACTGCACACTGGCCCCCCGGAGCTCAGGGACGGCTGCAGCCGCCAATCAGAGGGCCGGAGCTGGTGGACGGGGGCGGCATCGGGCAGACGGACAACTCCTCCAGCTCCGGTTTTCCCGAGTCTGAGCCAACCAACGCCACGGCTGCGTAGACAGACAGAGCAGCCGCACAGAGGTGCACAGGGTACGCACAGGTGATGCACTTATCACTGTAGCAGCATTAGTGAGGGTCACACAACTCCATGTCGCTTTGCAGATGGAATCTAGGCAGCATAACTTATTCAGTTAGATGGGCATTTGTCCACCATTCATTTTTCTGATCACATAACTTTCTACAAGAATCAATGCCAGTTATCTACCTCACCTCAGCATCAGTTAACCACAGGGGCTCCGTCCCAGTGGGCGCAAACACACACACACACGCACACACACACAAACACCAGTCTGTCTGTAGCTCCCGTGCAGCTTCTGGATCCAAAATTCTGTCTATTTAAGGCTGTTTTTGTATTTATGTGGGTTGTTATTCCGTGTGTGGACACGCAGTTTGGTAAATGGCTGTGGAGAGAGAATCTGCAGCAAAGAAACCATGTGTGCTCGTGTTCGGAGTATTTTTTTAATGTGCTGGTTTGACAATCAGAAAACAGGTCATGGGGAAAATATTTGTTTATTATTGAAGTTGAGTATCAAAACTCAAATGTGAGTGGTTTTAATTGGAATTAAACAACTCCTGTATTACAAAGTGAGATGTGTTTTTCTTTTAGCTTTATTTTTTCTTCAACAGTTCTTCGCAAAAGTCACAGCTTCTGTGTCCAAAATGGTGCGAGGCTGGGTGTTCAATTATATATATTCTACTCAAACAGGCCTTTTGTTCAGTATCCACTTAGAGCCAACAGGGTTGGAGGATGAGCAGATGAGAAATCCTCAGTCCCACCGCAGCACTCTGAGGTGATGTGAGGGTGTGTGCTGCAGGAGACCACAGATTTAAACATCACAGAGGAATCGCCTGCTCCTCATGTCAAAGGTGATCCAGGAGCCTTCACTGTCATTCCGTACATTTAAGGGATTGGAGAATCCCGGGAGCTGGTGGGGTAGGAAGCACGTTTCACCTCTGAGAAAGATGGCTTATCTCAATAAAAAGCAACCTGAGCGCTTGGATGGACTGGCAGGCACATCAACATCAGTCACCAGAGCATATTTCCAACAGCCGCACTTTCTGTCTTCAACGTACATTTACATTCCGAAATAGGTAAAAGGTTATTGCACTCTGTGGCCGTGATCCTGGAAGGGCGGAGGCGTACAGCGTCAGAATGCTTTAAAGTGCTTCTGCTTCCTGTGGCCTGAGCTCCTGAGAGGACCGACTGTCCCCGCGGGCCAGCACGTGCACGTGTGAGGACACACTCCAAAGTCACATAGCTCCTTAAAAAACAGTGTGCAGCTGTAGTCAGTCACTTCAGTAGATAAGATTCCGGGTAAACTCGCCGCTCGCCTGATTGGCGTGAACAGGTTCGTTGTTTCTTCCCCCATGCGAAACCGCGCCATTTTGTTACTGCTGCTGATGCTCTGTGGTCAGTAAATTCACTTCATTCCTCTGGAATCCTCCTCAGCAGAGGCGGACGCGCCGCTGGCGTGCTAGATAAAAGGGAAGAGACGCTTCTTGAGGATGTACAGGACCGTGGCGAGGAAGAGGGCCACGGCCAGGAAGATGAGCAGCTTGTCGGTCAGCTCTCGTCGGTTGTACTTAAGAATCAGCTTCCTGCCCAGGTGAATGGTTCCCGTCATGCTTTTAAACTCCTCGTTGGTTTCCAGCACCGTCCTGGAGGAAGTGGCTGCAGTGGGGGAGGGAGAAGAGAAGCAGAAAGATGACTCTTCCTCTATGGACCACACCGCCAGCCTGACAGAGGCGTAGACATGCAGAGGGTGGGTCTGCTTGTGTTTTCTTTACCCAGAGTGCTGATGGTGTCCTCACTCTGCTGGACCTGTTCAGCCATCATCCTGCTGATGGACATCAGGCTGTCTGTGATGTTGCTGCTGGTTTCCACCAGAGTTTCTTTTGTCACCTTCCTGAATAAAATACACACACAAACATGGAGGAATTTAACTGAGGCGTGGCCATTATCTTTTTTTTCACGTTATTCTTAGTATTGAAGGCCCGGTGGAGCTTTCAGTTCTAAGAACTGAAACTGGGTCCTGCATCTAACAGCAGAACTACAGGCTGCTTTATACGGCAATTTATTGAAAATAATTTTTGTTGTTGAGAATGAAAGATCCATAAAGATTCATCACTAATGAAGAAAAAGCCTAAGTGACATAAAAAAAAACATCATTTATAAAGGCCGTGTTGACTGTTGACTCATGTCAGTACTACTTTACTAACCTCTGCCTGGTGCTTTGGTTTTCTCCACCACCCAGCAGCATTTCCTTCTCCAGATTGTCTATGGCAAGTTTACAAGCCAGGTTGGCTTTCCTCCATGCTGTCTGGTTGCTACAGAAAAGACAAATGTTTCTGTTAACGTTTTCTTCTTACTATATTCCTAACTGCATAATGTTTACATACATGTGGCACAAACAGATAAATCCCAGGTACAACCTGTATTATTTTTGTTTATTATACAAGTCTGCTTCTCAGAAATCGTTTTAGCTTTCAGTTCAAAAATAAATAAGGTGGGCTTATTTTAACATTCACAATACTAAACGCCGGCATATTAAAAGATAGTTGAATAATATAAATGAAGTCAAATTGGAAATGAAATGTTTTGTGCATGTGTAAGTAACAGACACCTCAGCATTTGCCGCCGGTGGCTCTCTGTCTCTGCGATGATGGCCAGCCTGTCCGACTCTTTGTCCTGCTCTCTGCCCATCTGCTCCAGATCCTGACAACAACATCAACAACAACAACAACAACAAGGTGGCATCAAGTGACACATGTTCTAGTTGAAAGCACCAAATGTTGCAGATGTGAGCCAGTTCTCACCTGTATCCTGCCCCTCAGCATGTTGAATTTTTCTTTGACTTGAGCGTTGTACTCTGTGAGAGCGGACTGAGGTCCGGGACAATCCCTGATGTCCTACAGACAACACAAACAGAATGAAGTGTTAAAAAAATATGGATGCGCAAGATCTACAGTGTATGACTACAGTGTATGAGTGTGTCAGTTATTTTAAAGGTATTCAACTAATTTATTGTATTTATACATTTTATATCAATGCATGGGTACTTGTTTGATTTCAAAATAATGAGACAAATATGTTGGAATCTTTCCCGAACTCTATTTCAATATAATCGATGTAGTTTAGAAAGTCTATAGAGACCCACGCTTAAGGCTGATATTTTTTGGTTTGTGATGAACAAACAAAACCCTGTGCACTTGACACAGACCACATATGTAAATTAAAAACAGAAATTTCCCAATTAAGATAATAATAATAACAAATCAATAAGGCAGTTTCCATGTTAGGACCCTTCTGTCCGCTCCGCCTCTCTCAGGTCTTAAGCTAACTTTAGCTTCCCTTCTCACATCTGTGTGCGGACGGCTTCTCCTCAACATCCACGTTTTGGCTTTACAATACACACCATAGACAATATTTAAAGTCACTAGGGCAATTACCTGAATTAGAGCCTTTATCTCCAGGTCATATTTCACAATTTCTTGTCCGCAAATTTGGACGTGTACTTCCAACGAAGACGCCATTGTTGTTTTTGTACGGAGTCCCGGAGGCTCAAAAAGGACCGTCGTTCCGCCTGAGGCAAAGTAACGGTTTTAACCAAAGACGTTTATATTTATACACACGGCTAGTAGGGAATGCACATTTTTCTAAATGCACTTCACGTGTTAAATTATTGCACACAACACAATTTAAAATGCAGGAATCTTGAATAACAATTAGAGTAGTCGACATACCACATTTATTCTGGATCCCAACACTTCAAAAGTGAGTTTTTCAGTCCTGAATGGGAAACTGTAGAAACATTTGACCTCCTGGCAGCAGCTGCTGAACAGTTATCATTCAAACGGATTTATTACTTAGGAATGAAGACTTGATTTCTCTTAGTTTAGGAGACATTTCTTCTTATTTGGCAGGGTGGAAAATGTTTTCAAAATTCCATAAAAACAAAGTTTCTCTGACACATTTACACATTCATGTAGGTGAGTTTGAGGATGTGTAGGCCTACTGTGTTATTAATAAAACAGGATATTTGGGAATAAATGTTTTAGATAGTATATTCATATTTGGTTTGATATTTGGTCTGGATACTTAATTATCTTTATTCAATATTTGTGGAACATAGATCAGGCCAGCCCATAAAAAGCCCTAAAATGTCTTTATATGTCTTGCCTTTCAATCAAAGGGTCTTAAACTTTGAAGCTCAAATTTGAGAGAGAAATTCCCCAGTCATATTATTAAAATAGTTTTTACATGAGAGAAGAAAAGTTCATTTTTATTGTTTTCAGGCGAACTTACCTCACTGGTCCACAGCGCTTTCTCTGGTTTGTCTCCATCTTCATGTAGCAGTGGCAGGACGAAGGCCTCGTTCAACACCGCCCCCTAGTGTCCAAAGAGTGCAACGCCACAGGAGCCTGCACATTTTGACATTTTACTGTTTGAAGCCACAGGCGCCTTCTGAATAAACACTGCCCAACAATATTCTACCGCCATATTTGACAGCAACCAACTTTAATGTAATTTCCCGATAGCACATCAATCACAGGGAAATGTATACTGGTTGTGCAGTCTGCAAATATCTTTGCGTTTAAAGTTATTGTCACAATAGATGTCAGTCTTGTCAAAGCCAAATGTATATGAAATACAGAAAAATCATCTGCATAAAATTGTGCATTTAAGAACATTTAAGTCATTGAGCCAAGCAAACACACAGGAATCAGAGTAGGATGCTAATGGTTTTATTATTTTGATATTAAAATCAATAAACATAATCAGACTAACGTGGTTACAAGCAGAGCTGTGGTACCAACTCCCGGCTGATACAACAGAGAAAGAATGATTTAAGAAAAAAATAAAAGAGATTAAAAAAACAAAATAAAGAGAGGCACAATAACACAACGGAGATTCGGGACAGGTATCTGCAGGATTTAGAGCAGCCAGAGACAAAAAGTGTCAGAAGCTCTTAAACAAAAGTGGACCGTTACAGTACGAACCAAGAACAGAGGAGACGTCCCCATGCCTGTGCATAAAGCCACCAACTGTGCCTCGAAGGAAAAGAAAATACAATACAATACAAAAACAAAACTTAGTCAAAACAAAAGTAGAAACCAGCACGACATTTATTACACAACATAAATATAACAGCTGTCAAGATATTGTATTTGAACAGGCATATATGTGAACTACAAATATAGACGTCATTGCTAAAGAGAGGATCAAGTTAGTTTCAGCAGGATACACTTTCTGCAGATTTAGCTTCTTTATGATATTAGAATCACCAAGAGGTCTATTGTAGAGCACTGTGCAATGAAGTACAGCCTTCCTACTGAGACTGGGGAGAGGAACACACACAGGACTAACTACAGAAAGATCCCATGCTGTTGATCTACTCAAATAAGTTACCATACAAGACCAGAAGCATCAGAACAATGGCATGTAGCTGTGGAGCTCAGGATGGCCGACATCTCCCACATCCTCTACATGTTCAGGCTTGTATGGATTTCCTATAAAATTGTCTCGCTGTCTGTTGTTACTCGACTACAAAAACACAGAAGAAACGCAACCGATGTGTTCAGATACACATTTTGTTTTTAGTTGAATGTCTCTTGCTCCATGCGTTTTGGCAAGTCTGGAAGGAGATGCTGATCACTGCAGTGTTGCATGATGAGTGGACGTGTGTAGAAATAGAAAGAGGTGTTTTGTATTTATTACCGAGGGTGGGTTGTTGTTGTTTGCTTTAGTAAAAATCAGCCTGCAGAAGAGGGGGGGGGGGGGGGTAAGAAGGCTTTCCCCATCATTCACTGCAGAGGGAAGGTGAGGGGTCTCTGCCCACCAGCCTTAAATGACCCCCGGCTAATATCAGGGGCTCCCTGACAAGACAACCAAACTAAAGCCCCTCAAAAACAAGAAAATAAACCCAAAAAACAAACACCGAATAAAAAGAAAAAACATCAATTCAATATAAAGGAAAGCACAGAGAAGGGTGCAACCTCTGTCACAGTGAAGTTTTTCCACAAAACCTACAAAATTTCTCCACGAAAGCTTAAGACAGCAAGCAAACCGACTTCTAAACTGGGCTTCAAGGTTGTGAAAACGCACGAGCTTTAGTCCCGAGTCGTGACCAGGAGTCGTTTGGTGAGTGGGCTCCACTTCTGACCAAAGACAACAACCCTTTACTGCGTCCCCCAGACGGGAGCTCGCTCAAACTCACAATGAAATCGGCTTTTTTCTGTTAATGATATGCACAAGGCGAAGAGCGGCTGGAATCATGGGCCTGTTTACATTCTTATTCTGATCCGAGCATGAAAACAGGCATGGCTGTCCAGCTGCTTTTATAATGCTGAAGAGGATTTGAAAAAGTAAGAATAATGAGTGCGACGAACCTCTGTGGACTTTAGTCTAACGACAAAACTACGAGCCATGCCGGGCCCAACAGTTCGCTGGGTTAGTTAAATGGGTTATATCCAGTTAAATGGGTCATAACCACGATTCCCCTGTTTTAGGCAGCTTTTCAGACAATTTTCCACGTTTTGTCTTTTCAATTAGTACATTTATTTCTGATTTCATCTCTGAAAATGTTTATGGAGTTTATTTCATCCAGTTCAGGGTGAAAATGTTCACAAAAATCCATCACTGAATATCACACAGCCACATTTCTGGGTCAAAACACGTCCCAGGAACATTAGTTCAGACTGTGAAGTCCCATCGAATGGGGATATTTTGACGGTAACATGAATTATTCAGGTGGAAAAATCGGTCTGATTTCATTGTGACTTTGAGTTCTGTCTGAGAATCTGATAATAAACATTTAAAATACAAATAAAAAGTCTCTGGCTCGTGGATGCCCGCTTCAGTGGAAAAGCTACCAAGTTTAGATTCAACAAATGTCTCCTGGCCTGTTAAATTAGAGGACTTCACAAATAAATATCACGCACCGGTACGGACAGCGGACACCGAAGAAAAAAACGGCACGACATACGTTTGAATAAAAAGAGAGAATAAATATCAAAATATCATTCATAATAATAATAATAAAAAGAGGCTTAGACGTAGAAGCAAAGACGGCGGCCACGTAAAGATCCAACAATCCGGATCTCTTCGGATCCCGATGACCAGTCCCCCCTCCCCCCCTCTCGCGCCCCTCCAAACGACACCGGACAGTCTCCACCGGACACTCTGAGGAAGACTTAGTCTACATTCAACAGCGAAGCAGCGGCAGCGGTGGCGGAGTGAAACCTCGCCATGTCTCGCGTTATGTACAGCAGCGCGCGACCAGAACGCACGAGGACTGACCGGAGTCACCGGCGCCAAGAACACTATGGCTACAAAATCCAACACAGCCATGTTACTGTAGCACCCAGCCACGGACAGATTTTAGCACCACGGTTTGGTTTTGTTTGTTTTTTTTTGTTGTTTTTTTCTCTTCCTCCATGCTCAGTTTTGTCGTGTCACGCGCAGCCTGCGACTCGGCGCCAACTACTGACTTCAAGGAGGGTTCTGGCACTTCATTAGAGCAAAGTTAAGAAATGTAAAGTCCTTGTTTCTTTTCGTGTGCGTGTGTGTGTGTGTTTTATTTGATTTCTAACTGTCGGGATAAGGTCTCCCAGGGGCAGTAGCACAGTGCTCCGCGTGGAAACCTCACAGAGAAGAACCCCCCCCCACCCCCACCCCCACGGACACAGTGGACGTTCCCTAGTCTCCACACAGACACGCACCAACACGGATAGCAGCAGCCGATACAGAAAAACACAATAAGGTGGCGTAGTGGGCAGAGAAAGGGATAGTTTTGTGTGTCTTTGTGTGTGTGTGTGTGTGGTTTTTTTTGTGTTTAAACCGAAACCAGGTTTCCCAAAACACTAAAGGGAAAGTGTTCCACCGTCCAGATGAGCCCGAAGGCCCCGATCTGCCGTTAAAGGTTGATCTTTTTTCGTTTCTTTTTTTTTTTGTTTTTTTGTAAAGAAAAAAGCGTGGGCTTAGGACTGAAATTAGGCTGTCGTTTCAGAATAGTACTTCAAGTTTAAGTTTTGGGAAACCCAGTCCCTTGTTGCTGTAGGGAAACCCCTGCAGACTGACAGAAGGTGCAGATTTGTGTTCTCATTTATTTGATTAAGGCACCTGGTTTAGCAGGCATCAATATTTCAAAGTATGTTTTTTTTTTCGTCTCGTAAGCGTAAAAACCAAGTGCAAGGTGAGTAACGCTGTTGGTCTTTTTAAAATTGTAGGAAATAAAAGGTGAGGAGAGAAAGCAAAATAAAATAAAAAACACGGGGAGGGGGGGTGTGTGTGGTGTAAATATATTGTACAGGTGTCACAGACACTCTCAAACCAAAATCTGAAGTCTCTTTGTGCTCATTCAATAGCAGCAGGTATGGAATCATACGACTGAGAGGACAGAGAGACCCAAAAGCCATGCAGGAACTCCGTGAGGAGGATTGTCCCAGTCTGTCAGGGACTCCGGATGCAACTTGATTCTCTCAGCGCTACGCAGAAAACAGCATGCAGAACTAACTCCTGCTGCGATTTCATAGTGGGGGGAAATGTGGAGAGTAGTAAAGCACATAAGCCTCCAAGGGTCACTTTTTTCTAAGTTTTTCTCGTCTTTTTTTCCTTTTTTTTTTCTTTTTTTTTTTTTTTTTTTTTTTTACAAGAATAAGGGTATGGGTTAAAAAAAACATTTGAAATGACACAAAGGAAACTCAAAGACAGTCTTTGAGATTTGACAACACGGCCAGCTGATCTTTGCTTTTCATTCCAAGGGAAGCTTTTAGAACAGGACCGCACACAAAGGAGCTCAACAAGTGTGTGCCGTTTGGTACCAACGACTTTGACTTTATCATGGGCTCTGTTCGGATTTTTTCAAAATTCTCCTGTTAAGTGCAGTGTCAAAAGTGTCTTTTGGTACCAAGTCAAACTATGGAGTACGATAGAGGGAAATCTCCTATATTTGGTCAGGAGATGCTTCTTATTTATTTGAATCACATGTGCAAACCACACAGAGAACAGGCGTGTTCTTTTTTTGTTTTGTTTAAGGTAAAGTGTTCGGCTTCTCACACTTAAAAAGCCTCCGTGGCATCGGCTGTGGTGTCAAACCTGGAAGACTGCCTTTTTACAAAAGAAGCAAGGCTTTGCTTAACAACAGTGATCACACAGGTCAATGACACAGAAATCACCATTCTGCCCTTTAGAGCAGGACTCTATGAGAATCCTCCTCCGATTGGTCCAAAAAATAAAAATCATGCCATTGACAGAATTTTAAATGAACAAGAATGCCTGGACAGGGGGGGGGGGAAACTATTTCTGGGATGATGAACAGTAATCAGCACCATGAGGAAAACCCCAGTTGGATCACTGGACATCGGAGTCTAGTTCTTCATGAAGGGAAGATGTTGTGGATTTTTTTTTTTTTATTCGAAGGATCTATGTGTCAGTCTGTTGGCCTTGTTTTTTTTTAACTTTGTGTATAGAGCATTGCACCATAGTGATTGACATTTATAGTTCATAACACTCACACACACGCTCACAGACAATATTTTGTACAGAGTAAAGAATGGCGACAATAATTGGAATACATAAATATATTTTCTTTTTGATTTTATATGTCATCACATATGTCAAGATAGAAGAACGATATTACCCTGATTTACTGAAGAAGAGCTTTATGGATCCATGTAGCTTTTATTGGACAAGAGTAGCACAAAGTTACACACTCTATTAGCTTAATAGTTGACTGTATAGGGTTTATGTCATCGAAATAAGAAATAAAAAAAAGGATAAGGAATAGTTTTACTGGCGTGCGTGGATTTTCACTCATTTCCTTGACTGTTAAAATGCCACAGAGTCTCCTGGTTTCAATGTAAAGTTGCACAGCTTGCGCCTAAATGTAAAAACCTGTGAGGACTCTTTCTTGAACCAGCCTCATGATCGACAGCAAAACACACGCAGGCCTCTCTCAACCGCGGTTGACCCCCCCTATCCCACCCGCCGTCAAATCAAAGCTGAAAAAAATTGCTTCAAACATTATCGTGAGACGCACGTCAAGTAGTTCAAACTTTTGAAGCCGTTTTTCAGGTACTTCCAAAACCCCCCCGCCCCCCCCCAAAACGCCCGCTACTCGAGTCAAGGTTGTTTTGAGCCAATCAGGCTGAATGGTTTTGTTTGTTGCGGTTGTTGTTTACCGAGCTGGCAGATCCATGTCAGAAACCCCCGGGCGTGCCCATTAGCTACAAACATGTCTGCCATATTGTTATTTCTTGTTTTTGTGGATGTGAAAAGTCGTTTCAGAAGGCAATAAGTGTCCGGATTGAGTCTCCATTTGTAATTGGCTTGCCATACAGTACAGTGATATAGTAACTTCCCCCAGGGCGGCCGGGGACAGCATCTTTCAAGCGCGATCCTCCCCGGCCGCCCCAGGCTAAACCCCTCCTCATTAAGTCACAAGTAGAAATCAGTTTACAAATGATAACAATATAGCTCTCTGAGGAAATGTGTCTACACTGTACATCACCCTGAAGAGGAAGCCAAAGCAGAATCTGTTTTTCCATAGGAAACCTCTACTGAAGGCAAATGAATCATGACGCCGAGGGGGTCGGCGTCAGGATCAACGTAGGGGCCCTGGAATCAAAACCCTCTTTTTTTTTCTTTTTTTTTAATACGTTTTGTTTTTTTCTCGTTTTGTTTAAGACCACAAACATACCAGCGCACCGTCCCTGACCAGGAAATAGACCTCTCCCGTCAGACACTGGGCTTCCCAAAGCCAAGCAATGATACGCTCCCACGCAATACTTCTCATCCCACGGCTACAGACATTTGTAGCTCTAACCCTTGTCAGGCCACACACCTGCCCCCTTGCTAGTTCATAGACCTAGCCGTGTCAGATAATAGACTTATCCAAGCAAGTAGTCGTCAAGTACACTTGCAGCATTCACACGAGGCCATTTAGCAGCAAATGGAAGAAAAAAAATGCTTTTCTTTTTTTTTTTTTGTTTTTTTCTTTCTTTTTTGGACAAAGTGCTTTTGTTTTTTTAAACATATAAGATAAAGTAATCTATATGATATATCTAACATTGAGAAGATACATATGAATTCAAAGTTTATTTACCAAAATGAATGACTAAGAAAATAGCTATGGACGGTAGGGGAGAGCGAGTCATTAGGCTACAACTAGGCAAAGAAGTTAAATATGAATCATGGATACTCGTCATTCTACTTCCTGAAAAAGCACCATTACTCCCTTTTTGGATGGAACGGATGAAACTGAATATAGACCTACAAGCCAAAACCTCATCATCGTTTGACATCACTTCTCTAAAGGAAACTTTCAGCACCTTAAATATCCTGAATTCAACTGCTGACTGTTATCATTGATTAGATTTGCTTTGAAATCGCTCGCTGGCTGAATTTTGACATTTTCTGGGAAACAAGAACTTGTGGAGCACTTTTGTTTCAGTTTTCTTTGGGTTGAGGGGGGCTTTAATATGGCCAGTTAGGACAGCTGCAAAGCAGAAGGCAAAGTCAGGCCAGGCGGGTTCCATACATCAAACCCAGGAAATGCTAAAATTCAGCTGGCTTCGTCCTTACAAAAGAAAACAAATGCTTGTGAAATGTACATGACAGTGTGCAGTGCTGCTGAACCTCACTAAAAGTCAGCGTCTTGACATTCCACTCGTTCTCCAAGGCTCGGCTCTGCACTGTGTCATAAACCAGTCCCGGCTACCTGTATTTCACTCAGCTCGCGAGAAAGAATCGAGGGCTCGAGTGAATGCGTTTAGATCAAACTAGCGGATTTGCTTTTAAAAGCATTCTCTTCTCTTCCTCAACCTCTCCCTGTCTGACCAGTGAAAAGCCCCAAATGGAAAGGAAAAATTAGCAGGCAGCTATAAATACAAAAATATAATGATAATTTTTTTTTTTTTTTTTTGGTTTTTTGTTTTTTTTTTTCCTCTAACTTTCTCAATGCAAGGATAGGCTTTAGAAATGTGTCATGCTTAAAAATGAATCATTGTCATGAAAAGTGGCATTTCACCATTGATAGATACATCATCAATGCTTCTATGTACAGTACTGTCAAACACAATTCAGTTAATATTTTGCTTGTGAACTAGACCTTGTCTAACAGACAGAAATCAAACAAGTAACACAGGAACATTTTGGTTATTGTTTGTGACATATCGACAAACAAGCAAAAATGTAACATAGCTTATCTACTAGCGCTTGGTTTTTTGTCCTATCTAGCGCCATTAACACACTTAGCATGTGGAGGGAGGAATCAGTTCAGGAATGAAGTGCTTCCGAAGCAACGAATCTACAGGAGAAGCCCACAGATGGCGTTAATTTTTAGATTTCAAAACACAAACAAATGTTCCTTTTCTGTACAGAATTGGACCCAAGCTAATTTTCACAGTTCTCTGAAGTTCCCTGACCCTCCCACATTTCTTACATTCAATACGGCGTCAGGTAAGCTGTGCAAAACCTTACTTTAACTGGCTGGTCGCCATTTCGTTGCATGTGTCTTTGGTACAAAAAACAATCAAAATATAGTGTGCAAATATTTTTTGTAACTCTAAACGAAAAATATCTGTTGACCCAGCCCCGATACCCCAACACAGAGTACCAAAAACCAAAAGTAATCTATTGCAGAGCCCTCCTATATACACAGACTCTGTGGCATCACGCAACAAGAGCTTCCATTTGTTTATGTACATTCAGAATATCTTTAAACAACGGAAACACACATCAAACCCCACAAGTGTGTCCCCTCCTCTTATTCGCTGACGATCTCCCCCTCCTAAGTTGGATCTCAGGGAGTTCCAACCAATCATCTTCTATTGTTCTGCCCCTCTAATACACACTCACTCAGACTTACAAAGACACACACACATACATACATACACAAGGCACAATGAATAGAACTCTGATCAAACACTAGTATGAGCACACCAAACTGTCATCACCAAACGGCCTGGTCAACTCTACTGTACAAAAATGGGAGCCAGTGTCCGAGAGACACTTTTATATACAGTTTCCTGGAGGAGATGGGTCACTGTGTATGTCATCGGCATCATCATCTCCCTCACAGTCTGTCTGTTCCCATTATTGGCAAAATGCCTGTTTTTTTTTCACCCAGTCCAGTTATAACCAGCACAAGGTCAAAAAGCACCATGCCGCGTGCACCTCTTCCTTAAATGGTCAACCACCTTTCATCATTTAAGATCATCAAAATTAGCCCCGAAGCTTTCTCCTGCTGGCCACGAGCTTCAAACCAGCAGGATGTTTTTCGCTTCATTTCCAAGTGATGAAATTGCCAAAACTATCTCTAATTTTCGGCAGAGCTGATGGGCAAACAGGGGATGGCATGAACATATTTGGACCTTCACTACAAAACGTTTCATGCCGCCCTGTTTGCTTTTTTTCTTTTTTTTGTTTGGGCTACTGAAGCCATGGTCAAAGTGCTTTAGTGAACGGGTCAATTTAACAACCTGGAATTCCTTTTTTTTTTGTCATTTCGGGTGATCATCCATATTATAAAAAAATAAAGGTTTAAAAAAAAAAATTGGATCTTCCTCAACGTTTGACAATGTCTGGTTTGTAACAATTCTTCCTTTGCCTCCGTTGCCACCTCAGAAAAAAGGTGTGACGGTATTCCAGTGGTTACACTCGTGTGACTGTCTGTCTGTCTCAGTCCTCGCACAGAACCAACCCCACACAATGCTATGCTCAGTACACCCAGCGTCCAGCCGTGGCTCTTTATGACGTGCTGTTAGCTGTACACCTAACCATCACTTGCTTGTACATGTGCCTCACTCAACAGGCGGTCACGATGGGTTGGGAGACAATGATGTACGGGAAGCTAGGGTGTATGCCATACGGGTGCATGGCCAAAACAAGCACGCATACATACGCACAGGGAGTGGTATGTGTGTTTCTGTGACTAACAATGTATATCTACTCTGAGTTGGAAGGGCATGCAGAGGGGAGTATAGTTACAATGGGACAGCGCGGTGGTAAAGTTTAGTCCACTCCTCTCAGTGGACGCCGTTTGCCTAGATTTTGGAGGTGGGGACTCGCAGGCCGACCAGTCCGCCGGTGGGATCGCCGCGTCCCGTGTTCTCCAATATCTTGTTGACAAAGTCCGAGGTCTGCCCGGCAACAGGGGATGGCACTGGACACAGACACGGATGGGTTCAGAGGTGATACAGGCAGCATATGTCTATTTTGTCTAAGTATTCGGTTGTAAATGTACACTTTTTTCAAATGTTTCAGAATGCTCAGTAACTTCCGTGTCCCTTTTTTTGTCAATATTTGACGATCCGCCGTTCATCTCAATAGCATTTTTGACGCATAAGAAATGTCACGCCAGGTCTGAAACCAGACAATATGGTTGATAGAGATATAATCCACCACCATCTGTTTGCCCTGTAGAGCAGCGATAGCGTGCGTTTCTCCTGCCCCAGCCTTGTGGTGTAGCCCCGCCCCGCCCTGCCTTTTCTCTCTGGCACCGTCGGCAACCGGCTGAGCTGCTGTAGCCTAAACGGAACCAGTCTATATGCTGTGATGAGTTGTGACTATACTTTATGCAGACTCTTTTCCTCCCTCAGCTGTTTGGACATTGGTATTTTACAGTGCAGCGGGCTCTCATCAAACAGAATGCCTGTCTTTTCTGCTCTGCATGTCTTAGTTATCCAGCCCTGTTTGAATGAGAGTTGTTTTATGCGATCACTGACTCTCAAAATGTTTTTTTTTACATCAAATCTGTGGCACTGACACAAACTGAACACTTTACCCAACTCATATCAAATCAATACTGGTAACAACTTGGCCTTGAAATACCAGGGTACATATTTTTGATAATATCACCTCCCGAACAGTTAGTGCTCTGCTTGTGAAGGTTAGATCTAAATGCAGAACACGTGTGAAAGTCGCATCGGATTCTCACCAAGTGTCTCCTGGATGAGGCGCTCCAGAGTGTCAGTCATGTTGGTTGGACGTGGAGAAGAATCCTCTACTCGCATCATGATCTCCTCCTTGATGGCGTTGATCACAAACAGCAGTCGATCTGCGAGAACACGTACGTTAAAGTAAAGTAAAACTTATTCAAAAGGTTATTAAAGCTATTTCTAGAAAAAAATGTCATGATCATTTAAGACCATCTTAGAAATATACATCTGTCAGAGTAGTGTAAAAACATTTTTTTTAGGGGATGGAGAGATGAAAAAGCCTGCAACTTACCATACTCTGTACTGAGTCCCCAGAGTTTCACCTTGTTTGCTTCGTACTGGGCCTTCTTTTTTAAACGGCACGCCCTGTAACACACGGGGGATTGCAGGTTACTCATCAACAGCAAATCATTTCACAGGTCCGCTCCTGAGCAGCAGCTCGCTGGTTTTTACCTTGATGCTAGCTTGTTTTTCTCTTTGCGAGACCGCGGCCGTGCGGTCAGAGGCAGCTCGCTGACTGGGGTCAAGTCACTGATCACCTTGTTGAGCTTGCGGAGTTCTGTGCCGATCTGCAGGAGCTTGCGTGGATTGGGCGTCAGGTCTTCCACGTCGGTGCGCCGGGACTTCTTCAGCATGTATTTTCCTTGGTAGAAAAGGGAGGAGAGAAGGCATTAGACAGCACCCACATGTCATATTTAATTCCTAGGCTGGCATAAAGCAGGCTGCACGCTGTGTCTGTCATTTCTGTGCTGTCTTCTAATGCACAGTGTCAGGACAGCAGCCTGATACTGTCACACGCAGCGGGCCTATAATTACCAGTCAGTATGAAGAACATGGGTTTTAAACTTAGTCGTACATTTTAATACATATAACCAGCCAACAGAATGTGTTATTTTTCATTGTTCTATATGAAGTAATTACATGTTAGACAAGGAAATTAAATGCGAACGCTGCTATTGACTATAGTTCGATTTTTCATGTTCTATTTAAAAAACGAAACTGAGATTTATTCACAATTTTCTCTCATTGCCATCAGGTTTAAACTGATTTTAAACCTCTTGCATTTAACATTCAACTGTGGCAGCGCAACATGCCGTGCACATCTGCCGCTCTGAAACAAAAACCCTACGGTGCCAAATGCAGGAAACTCAGCCAGAAAAGTTTTCCATTATTTTTATACCCATGAAATGAGCCCAAAAGGTGATTTTGTATCCAATGCCTCTAAGAACCTCATAACACTTTTTGCTATCATCACCAAATCTTACATGCAAGGCTAATACGCGTTAGCCGATTATATACAGTTTATGTAAGGGTGTGTTTGTTTGTGTACCATGAAGAGGCCCGTTCTTCTGGTACAGGTTGCTAGGCAACGTGTGCCTGTCCCACTCAGATGGCTTCAGCATACGCTCCTGTTTGGAGGGGGTGAGCTGCTCGCTGTATTCCCAGAAGTAGCGGCGCTTGCCTCTCTTTCGGCTGGAGACGCCAGCTGTCAAGCCTTTAATGTCGTCCATCAGCTCCATGTCGCAGCCTGGTTGGGTCCACAAAGAAATAGAAAAAAGAATTACAACAGTCGGGAGAATAACGATGGAAACACAGCAGAGGGATAAATATTAAATGCATTTCCAGATGGAGGGCTCCTACCTGGCTCAGAGAAGGCGTCACTCATGTCATCATCTTTGTCGGCTTCATAGTCCTCGTCCTCTTCTTCCTCCTCCTCGTCATCATTCTCAGACAGTTCGTGCTCACTGCCGAAACCCTCATCGTGGTCTTCATCATCCAAGTCCAGCCCGTCACCTTCGCCCTCCTCCACCTCGTCCTCGTCGTCCTCGTCCTCATCTTCCTCTAGCTGGGAGTGGGCTCTGTTGACCAGGCCGCTCCGGGTCAGAAAGAGTGAGTAGTTGTGCTCTTCCTCCTTGCTCTGCTCCGAGTCCTCGACCACCAGAACGCCACCGTTGCCACCGCAGTTGGCCCCGACCGCGCCATCGCTGCTCACCAGCCCGGACGTGCTGCCCTCCGCCGCCTGGCTCCCCTCCACCAGCTGAGGCACAGAAGCGGACCAGGCTGCAGGGGTCTCCCTCCTCGCCGCCCCCTCCGCTTTCCTCTCGAAGCCCGCCAGGCTTCCCGAGCTGCTGGCTGCGGCGGCGGGAGGTCCCACCAAAGTGGCACTTGCTGAAGTGGAGGCTTTCTCATCTGGAGGCTGGGACAGCGACGAGGAGGAGTCGGACCCCTCTAAATCCGGCTGGGGGGGCCTGTCGGCCAGGGCTCTGTGTACGGAACTGATGCGTACTTTCGCCTTCCGTACAAAGTCCGAGCCTTGAGAGGCGGGGAAAGCGATCTTGGTCCCTCGCCCCGCTGGCTTGTTCTGGGGGTGACTCTGGTCCTGGGTGAGGCTGAGGTGGCTCTGGGTCTTGGCCATAGTCTCGGTGCTGGACGGGACGGGTCGGGTTGCTTTTTGGGAGCCCTCGGGAAAATCTGGGAGAAGGCTGCGGGACGGGCGGGAGGAGGACGTGGCGCTGGGGGAAGGCCTTACAGAGCCGGGGCCTGACCCTTGTCCAGGGACCAGGATTCTCTTGCTGTGGGAGGGGAGCTGGGGTGTCAGGGGCTGGGGCGGGGGGGCAGGCAGGCTCAGGTCAACAGGGTGGTAGAGTGCCTCACTAACGGGCAGAGAATCCTCGCTGTTGAGCTGAGCCAGCGTCGGGGTTCGACCAATCACCTCCTCATCCTGATAGGGACTGGAAAAGTCATCTAATCCAAGGAAGTCCACCTCTTTGGTTCCCCAGATGTCACAGCTGGCCAGCCGCGTGTATCTGCCAAGAACGGGGAAAAAAGGACAAAGTTGTAAATAATCATCTCTTAGATTTAATGGCTTCCTGTTTGGTCTAAATGTGAACAACTTAAGCACCACTTTACGGTTTGTAAACACTCGACTTCTCCACTCAGCTCTCCTATTTGGATCTTAGTTCTTCCAATCGCAAAGGGAAGGAAGGTGAGGTGAGGGCAGACAGAAGTAAAGGGATCAAAGTAAAGGAGACATCCTTGTGTTAGAGCCTTATTTCAAACTGACATCAACCAAATGTCATTTGCCCAACAGTGCTTCATCTGTCCGTTACTCAGCCTGCCACATTAGTTATTTCTGTCAAATTAGCATAAATGTTTATACAAATGAAAACGTTTGAATAACGTGTAATGTCACCTTCAAACATCACCGGCCCCACAAAAAAACCTCTACAGGGAATTCGCCAGTGTGAGCTCGAGTATAGCCTCCTCTCTCATGGTGCATTTCAAGATTTTTGAGACATCCTTAAAATATTTAGCTGTGGAGGATTTCCAGGTACAAAGCAGGAGGACGGAGGAGTGAGGAGACGAGGGGGTTGAAATTATACCGAAGTGATGTGTGCGCCTAAGCCTCTTATGTCTACCAGGGTTATTAGCAGTGAGTGAGATGTCAGTGAAAAAAAATTCTTTTTTGCATGAAATGCGAATGACACAAAGATGTCAACACAATTCTAAATCTTTAAAAAGGTATTTTTTCCAGTTTTTCTTTTCCAGATTTTTTTTACAGCATGACAGTGTTTGAACTTCAAGCTGCTGCTGAGACATTTCATGACATCACATTGGACTCTTGGAAAACAGCTAACATCTTTCAGCATATTTTTGAGGTTGTTCTTTTCTTTTTCTTTCTTTTTTTTTTAAACCCAAGCACTCCCAACCTAAATCATCTCACCGCATGTCGTAAGTAAGTAGCTGCTCAGATCCCTCCCCCCTCCCTTCCTCGTTTGCTTTGGGTTTAAATTTCCTCGCAAGAGCAGTAAACCTGGGGGCAGTGGAATCTTTCCTGCCATCAAAAAAAACAAAAAAAAAAACAGAAAAGTTATGACACTCTGGTGGACACTGTCTGCTTTAATCTCTTAACAGGAAGAATCTGGATGAGAGCTGCTACACGAAGCAAGTAGTACAACATGAGATGGCAAACAGAGGATGCAGGCTGCAGATTTCTGTGACCCTGCTACAACCGACACAATTCCACCTCAGTCTGAATCGCATTTAGCCCTCACTCAGCTATTTGTCCTCAGCCGACACACGGGGGGGAGACATCACTACTATTCAGCTGTATTCTGGCAGCGAGGCATCGATGCCGCTGCAGGACTGATGGGAGCACGTCCACTGAGCTGTGCAGCTCCGTGTGATGGCTGTTTGTCTAAGCTATCCCTTCATCGTTTATCAAGTTTTAATGTTTCTTTCCCCAGCCTCCAATGTTTTCTTTGCTACCTATGCATAAGCACCACCATTTGCTTACCGTCATTTATTTTTACAGCACTATACTAGCCATTGCATTTATTTAAAGGTAGTCTTTGGTCGCAGAGGCAAAGTAAAGCCGCGTCAGGGACACACTTTAACTACTAGTTATTAGATTGTATTGCTTTATCATTTTTTTTAATCAACGCGTTTCACTGCATGTGAACAGAATCTGTGACAGATAAATAAATCATCCAGTACCTGGTGAGATCTTCCCAGTAGGTGTCCCACTGTTCGAACGCTGAGCTGCTGCACACTGTCTCACACTCTCCGAGACCCATTAGCTGATCAACACCTCCCTCCATCTCTTTGCCACCATCTCCAATTCCAACTATGCTGTCCCCGCCGGGACTCTGCCGGTGGGTTATGTCTCTGTCCTGAGGAAAGAAGCAAGAAGATGAGGTGGTGACTGGATCAGGCTGCTTTAAATGTTGCTTTTATTCCTTGAGCATATTGTTTACTCTCACAGTTAGGTGAACAGGCAATCAACTGGCCAAAATAGAGAAATATAAAGCATTAGGGAGGAATACGTAGATTAGGATTGTTCGATTAGTATTCAACATCTGGTTAACACAAATCCAGCAGCCAAAATCAGTCGGTTTTGAGCTGAAGTCTCTGAGAGCTGGTGGTTTTAAAGTCATATGATCAGTCAGACCAATGAGAAGCTACATGGAAGACCACACTGTAACACCTGACTACTCACACAAAACTGAAACATTTTGTTTAGTGGATAGCAGACAGTAAACTCAGATATACACCTGCCACTGACAGCGGGAATGCTGCCAGGAGAGCTACGTTTAGGCGTTCTTGTGAGCCTGACGAATGTAATATATGTCAAACAATCGTTCCCATGACAGCTAATACAGTGTTACCTGATTCGTTTGCACTAATAGGCTTCTAAATAAGCCCGGCTTTTTTCATGATGAAGAAATACGTTTGATCCTTTGACAGGACGGTGTGTAAAAGCCGGACGCTGCGCTGACCTCATAAACACTCTTGTTTGCGGTTTTACCAAATCACACATCCAACATGAAACCCCAGAATTTTTAAGGAAAGTCAAATGCAATTTTCGGAAGAGTGGGAAATGCCAGGCGGCCTGGTGAACTGTTTGACATAACGTGGGGGGTGATTAAAATTTCCTTCCATTAAACAACGCGTTTCATTTCCAGGTGGTTATGTGTGTGAGGCAGGCTGTTGCCAACCCTGCAGATATTTCACTGTCAGGGAGCACACAGAGCACAGCTGTTACTCCTAACAGAGCGGATGGCTTTGCTCTGTTTAGGTGTCCCAGAAAGCCAAACGGCCCCCTGTTTTCTGTTCAGGCCCTGCCTGCTTTATTGCTTGTATAACGGCGTAATTGCTTCATCGCAAATCAGACACAATTAAAAGCATTATAAGCTTAAAAGCTTTTAAAGAACACTGCTGCATTGCCGCCTGCACTGGGAGTTATTTCTATGTATGTTGTTGGTTGCTGTGGTTGTCATATAACCACATCTAACCTTTTCACAGCCTAGTTTTAAGACTGAATATGACTCTGCCGTTTGAAATGAATCGACAGAGAGCACGCCGTTAACGCGCTGCACTGAAGGGTAAAGAGAAACACAATGCTGGTGTCTGACCACGTGTTGGAAGCAAACTCGACCCTGAAAGCAACGCAAGCCAGGCTATTCACCCGACAGCTCGCCTTCGCCGTTTCCTCTAGCTTTGAACGAACCATTGGATGCAATCTGCTGACCTAATAACTTCTGTTAGACCCATTTTTGTTTTTGACAACGCAACAACAAACAAAGGGACTGTTTTAGACAGAGAATACCGGCTGCGAATAAAAAAGGTTTGCTTTGTAACAAAACCGGAGACTCATTTTCTTATTTCTTGGCTTTGTTTTGCAACATAAAGAAATCCTGTGTGCAGACGATACAATTCCAACCATGTTTGCATATCTGATCCACGACCTGGTGGAAAAAAAAAAAACAGGATGAAGCACCGCTTCCCTGATTGGAATTTAAAACACATAAAGACCTCTTGGGGGGCGGGGGGGTTGCTGTAGGGGTTTGCTTGCGTCAGTGTTTGGGTGGCAACTGGAGTCACAGTGGGTGAAACTTTGTGTCACTGTAACTCTGAGTGAGCAGCTGTAACTGATGTGAAAAGAAGGCAAGCTCAACGGACTGTTAATACGGCCTGCTGCCTATTTGCAGCCTGGCTGTGGTGAGATGACCCTCTGAGTGTGTGTGTGTGTGTGTGTGAAAGCACTCACCAGTTCATACATGAAATCTGGGTCAGAGCTGGTGGCCAGCAGCTCAGTGCTGGTCAGGGCCTGGTCCGCAAAAGAGTAATTCTGAAAGGCATCCCCAAAGGGAGGCTCCATCCCCCTGACGCTGGGCTGCAACACGACAAGAGCAGAAAACAAAGCAACGCTAAAGCGAGTGAACTGAAGCGCACGTCGCCAGAAAACCAATCTGATAAATGGGTGTTAACCTTCCTTTTCTTTGCCTCTACTCTTTCGGTTCTGTCCCTCTCAAGATGCTCAGTTCTTAACTTTGTCCTTACAACCCATGATCACATCATAATGGAATCATCACATTTGAAGGAACTCTACTCTTTGTCGCCTTTTAATTAGAATCTTTTAAACACTTGTGCAGGTCTAAAAATGCAAATAAGTCTGGATTAAAAGAGACCACATGCCAAGAAGAATGATTTGATTTGTTTCCAGCCGACAGCCTGGAATCAAAAGGGATTGTTTGAGAGTTCGCAGCCTTTCACTGACACAACATGCCTCCATTTTTAACATTTAACAAAAAATAGGAAAATAACAGAAAAAGTTCAGTGTGCGTAACAGTCCCATTGGGTCAGAACTTAGTAAAACAAGCTTTTGCAGCAAGTAAAACTGCAAGTCGCTTTGGATTGGTCTCTATGACCTTGCCAATGAGCTGTTTACCCATTCCTCAAGGCGAAACCGCTCCAGCTCCTTCATGTTGGGCGTTTTTCGCTGAACAGCGATCCTCAATTGCTATCTATCTAACCACAGATTTCTCAAATGGACTGAGGTCTGGACTTTGACTGGGCCATTCCCACACATTCAAATGTCTCCTCTCAGCCCACTAGAGTGGAGCCTCAGCAGAATGCGTCAGGTCATCGTCCTGCTGCAAGGTGAGCCTCCGTCAAAGTCTGAAATCACTGGCAGACGGATGAGGGTTTTGCTCGCAAATATCCCTGTATCAAGCTCCGTCCATCTTTCCCTCGACTCGGACCAGTTTCAAGGTCATTGCTGCACACAAAAACACCCCCGCGGCATGATGCTGCCACCACCATGCCTCACTGTGGGCGTGGTCTTTGGCGGCATACATTTTTTCCATTGGTGGCTGAAAAGCTCCGTTGTTCGTCTCATATGACCAGGAGAGACCAATAGAGTATCGAGGAAATTTGGTCAACTCAAAACGTGTCTTCTTATCTTCAACACTAAGTAAGGGATTTTGCTCTAAAGGCCGGCTCTATGCAGTGTACAGTGTACCTATGGTCAGATACTCTGCAGCTTCTTCAGCGTTCCCTTCGGTCTCTGTGCCGCCTCCCTCCTTAATGGGAGTTTTGGTGGGCAGGCCCTCTCTTATCCGGTTTGCTGTGATATCCACGGTCTTTTCATGTGAAGGTGATAGTTTTTGACGGTGCTCCTGGGGAACGTCAAGGATTTGGATTTTTTAAATATTTCTTTCATCACCCATCCCTGACTTGACTTTTATCGCTAATGGTATGGCGTTGGTGTCAGGTGAAGGACCTGAGGCGGCAGCAGTCATTCATTTTCAGTGACACTTTTCTCATTGCATGAATCTAAAACAGGTTTAGCGACATCTCGCCACAGAACGAAGAACAATCACACAACTCAATGAAATGGGCTGGAAACACTGTGGGTCGCAATCCAGTAGAAAATTTATGAAAGAAATTCAATACAGCATAACAAGGCTCCCCATCCAGTAGTAATGAAGAATATTGTTTTTTTCCAAATGGTCTACTCAAAGAATTCAGGTTAGATTAGTGTTATCGGTTCAGTCCTCCAGGTGTGCCGATTTCAGAGTAATTACCATGGATTGTTTTATTCTAGCATTCAAATAGATATCAGTTATTTCAATGATTTTCAGATATACATTCAACTAGTATGCTATCGACAAAGGAATCAAGCAGTGACAAATTCCCATTAATGCTGTTTCAGAGGGTTGCACAGCTGCTGAGTCACACGGACAAAAATGCCTTTCTGTTATTCTGGTCTCTACATCAGCCCTTTGCACAGCATACTCTGATCCTCACTGAAGACTACAGCTACAACTGACCAGAAAGAGAGAACCCATGACCTCATATAGCCAAAGTGTGTCTGAGATCCAACACCAGGAGTCGGACAAAGACAGTGGCTGATGTTTGAAAAATAAAGAGTTTTTCCAGAAACACGCCCTCTTCACAGACCGTGGTTGATAATACAGCAAGGAAAGAAAAGGATGTAATTACCCCATCTAATACAACCCAATTAAACAGCTCAGTTATTATTTGCATCAGTTTTGCTCAGTTTTGAAGGGAAAAGCCTTTGGAGACCTTTCAACCAAATGAATGAACATGATGAGCGTGATGAGTATTAAGAGATAAATGTTGATAAGTCTTTGTAGGAAAAAAAAATCAGCTGTATAACAGCTTTGTATTCAAACTTCAACCTTCTAAGTTTAAGGGAAGAAGGAAATGTTTAGTGAAGAAGGAAACAGAGGAAGGAAATGTTCGAAAGAAAAACTGGTTACATCTGTGATTCCTTTGGCCATTTTTGGCTTACATCTATGTTGATAAAGTATCCAAAAAAGAATTATACACTTGCTAGTCTAAAAAAAAAAAAAGTTTGCGTCTTTGGGCATGGTAGTTTAAGATATGAGAAGCTATTTACCGCATCGGTTGAGGTTAAACAACCTGTTGCAGAGTAAAGATAAACACCTACATTGATCCAATAGGAGGTTCGTACCCATTTGCTTATCTAAATCCAGGTGGCGACCTTTATATTTTTCGGCCAGGCCATGTATCGGAAGATACAGCACATCACAGCACGTCAGGCCGGCTGAATTATTGACAAACCTCTAAAGATTAACCACCTTACACTGTATGTTCCAGAATGCCAACCAGCAGGAAGATATGCTTGTTCATGCCACTTAGGTGTAGGCAGAGGTTAAAGGTCGGTATACAGAAAGACCAAATGCACCATATGGGAGACAGGAGTCAGTCAGCATGGTTTGATGTGCAGTGCAGCTCGCAGCTCTGGAGCCCTTCCCCCTGAACCGTTGTTCTTGTCTCAGCTCGTGTTCACAGCGAGGTAATCAAGTTATTAAACAAAGTAGGTCTGCCACCGCAGGGCTCACCGTGTGAGAAAATACTCCACTAACTGTCTGTACATGTACATCCAATTGAATTCCCTGCACAGAAGCTGACTGAGTTAGTTGACAGGTGGTTTTGTCACGATGATGCAGCTGTTATAAAAGATAAAAATACAAAAAATTGGGAGTGTATTGGGAGTAAAGCAGGGCAACAGTCTGGGAAGAGTCTGAGCTGACAAATAGTATTAACGGGCTAATTTTCATTTAGCCATGTGGAGCACGGGCAGAACGTCTAGGACAATTTATACGTCAGGGTGATTTACATTGTCTGGTGTGTTGATCTGGTGTTTAAAAACCTTGATTTCATTCACGTTCACAATCGTTCTATAAATCCAGATCGCCACTGACTGGCAGAATAATTTGGTTTGCTCAAGTGTTATGTAAATGTGATTAATAAGTAGGTAAAGATTCCCGTTTCGCTACAGAATTATAATATATAATATAATTGATACAAAATTATAATTCCTGCTGAATAATTACTGCACTATTTCATTTAAATAATGGAAGGGAACCAAAAGGCAATCAGCAAACATTTTGGCTATTTTGGCACTAAAACTTAGCTGTTTGGACCCAGTGGACACGCACACTGAAACACTTACCACTGAACCTAAATGAGCCTGTAACCTCTGGCAGTTCCTCTGAACTGCGTTTCACATCTGTGATCCTGTCTATCTACAGCTGGCTACAAAAAGGCTATTTTGTTTCAATCGTTTGTACTGAAAGAACAAATACATTTTGTATTCTATGGGTTGTGAATTCCATAATCATACCTGTACATTTTGGTTCATTTCTTGCATATTCATTTGTATACTTTATATCAATTAGCAAGCCTATCGGTCAGTTAATGGAGCCATTGCCTATTCTCCATTGTACTTCCTACCTGAGGCATTGCCAGGCACAGCTTCGCGCTCCAGCGGCGGGAACCTCTGGTTCTCTTGTCCAGTCCCAGTGGTGTATAATTTTCTGATCAGCTCAATAAATTTGTGCTGAGGGGGGTGATCCGAGTGCTGGGGAGTGCAGCCTGTAAGGCTGGAGGGAGGGGGGGAGGGAGAAGATGAGTAGCTGGGCTCAGCCTGGTCCGGTCCGGTCTGTTGTGGTCTCTCCTGGTTCTTTGTTATACTTCAGGGTCTGCCATAAAAAGAAGAGGGGAGTTTTAGACCACAGATGAAATCAGTTTCAGCACACAGGCACATTTCAACAACAGCCCCAATTCAGAGGATCGTCTATGGGATGTTTGGAGGTTTGGAAACAAAACTAAATCCAAGGATCTGAATCTGAGCTTAGTTCATTAATAGTTGATAAGGAAACCAAAGAAACAACCAAAATTTAAACTGAGACACAAGCAACAAAGTGCTTCTCATATAATGCTTTTCTCTTATATTTGTTTAGCCTTGAATTGCTACTGCCAACCTTTCATACGTGGTTTTCGACTATCCAAATCAGGGCAGACTTAGCAGAACTCGGGTTAAATGGCAGCATGCTTGGGCAGGACTACAAATGTTTCTACCCTGTGCCACAAACACAGACACTGTGTGTTCCACAGAGGAGTGCCAATAAATGGGCATTAAATCCCTTAAAGGACATTGTTGTCATTAAACTGTAACAAGAATAACTATACCAAAATACCATGAAATTCCGCGTAAAAAGAAAAACATGTAGCATTAGTACAGCAAGTAATAGTTCAGTTTTAATGAATGTGGACAGCCCAGGTTGGAAGTTGAGTGGGTCTCCACTTCTCGACAACCCCGGCTATTTCCAAACACAACTTTCTCCAAGTGATTGATCATAGTACATTTGTTCTGCTGTTTGATCCATGACTCCATCTTAGCCCGAGCTAAAACAGTTCCACCACGGCCACGGTATCAGGGAGGTTTCTTTTCCATTGCCCACTTCCCTCCCAACTAAAACACACAGACTAAATTTCGGTCTGCCAGCTTTTGCATTGCAAATAAATGAAGATTTGCACGGAGACATGACCCCGGCTGTGATCACATGACTAAAAAAAAATCCCTGCATCACTCGAAGGCCACAGAATAACATGACTTCCTCTTGCTCATTGCAAGCTAACACACACTTGTCACGCTGACGGTTCGAACTCTGTACGCAGACTTTGCATGGAGACAGGAAGTGGCAGAAAACACAGCGGTGCACACTTCTGGTGTGAATGCAACTACGAGCAGAACCAAAACGTATGCACCAACCGGAGGCACAAGGACCACCAACAAATCTGGAAGCAACTCAGCCTCTGAGTAACAAATGTTGATTATCATCGAATCTCAAAGTGCACTTCCTTCCTGGGCAGATGCGTCTGGTTTCACTTGTAGCAACAGCAGAATGAAGAAACATATGGCCCGAAAACAACAAAAACAGCATCATCAATGCTGAGCCTTAACTATCACAGAAGTAAATAAGGGGCATGAGATCTTACAAAACTGCAGAAAAGCGGATTTGTGAGATCACTTGGACTCAGAACGTTTATTACGATCGTCTTCTGTGTAAAACCTTTACATGATGCACTGAAGCTGCAGCAGCTCACATCATATGTCTGCCAGCATTATCTCAAAATTGCACTGCTATGTTTTGTCCAAAGTGCAATTTTAATAGAGATTTATGACTTTCTGTACAGCTGGAATATGTGTCACTGTCTGGAGCAAGCCGAGGATGGACTTCTACAACAGTATGTTTTTAAAGCTGCATATATGAAGGAAGAATGGCAGAAAATGGGTATACCAGCTGTAAAAATACATAGTTATAACGGTAATTTTGCAACATATACAAATGGAAAAAAGGGTGAAAAAAAGAAATGCTAAGTTGAAGCTGTGTTTATTGCTCATCTCACCACTTCACTATCATGCAAACAGCTGACATTACCCCCCTCACAACAATGGAAATGATCCAATTAGGCCAGTGGGTAGTGCCTTATACGACCTGCCCACTGAGACCAGTCAGGCCCCGAGTGCTGCGGAAATAACAAGTAAGAGCAGCCAGCCCGTTCGAAAGCGACATACGAGAGCAAACATCACTAAAGGTCATTAATCCACAAGTCCTGAATTTGTTTGCACAGAACAGCAACAGGCTGAAAATAGAGGCTCGCTAAACAGTGGACGGTGCTTGAAGGCTGGAAATTTTCATAATTTATTTATGACACAGCAGCATGAGCAGAGGTGACGCGAGGACTTGCAATTAAATATTAGTTTTCATCGATTTTGCATTGACTGTCAGGGGAATCATACAGTGATGCGGGCTCGATGCATCAATAGCTCTCCTCATTACACGCAGACAATGTTTACGTTAACTATGTTTGTCATGTCGATAGGGCAGCCCACTCACCAGTGTACTGTAATTAATGATGTCCAGAAACATGTCAGCCTTCCTTTTAAGGAAACATATATTTGAAATTTGACTGTTATTTTTGCAATGTCTTATTTCCGAGTGATTTCAACTCAGTGACTCGGCTTTACAAAATCCCACAGCTATGAGTTACCAGTATCCTTGCATTCAACACTTGAGGAACAGCAATTAAGTATATTGGACCACCAATGCCGGCTGCTGCATTCTGTTGTGTCCATTCCAATGTGAAGTTCTGTGACATAACTTCCTACCCACAGGGAGATGAGTGCAAGCCAGACACTCGTAAACTGCAGAGCAACCAGCTTTGGGGTTACAGAGTCAAGACCATTCTTATGACGAGAGAAATTGTAAACCAAAGCTGATCTAAACTCAGTTTTGTCACTGTTTAAGTGTGTATACCGCTGCTGGTTGCTGTGCAACACTGCAGTAAATTCTAAAACTGGACCACAAATGCTGTTCCTGCAGACACCGGTCTAAATGTTTGTTCAATTACACTGATTGATGTCAATACTATACAGAAACAAGAGCAGTCTGAAGGTCACGCGATTATGTAGAAGTAGGTCATTAAGGTTTACTCTGATGGGACCACAGTAGCATAACAGTACAAAGCCCTTCTTCTGATCTCAGCTTCCTCATCAACTGCCCAGGTTTTTACAATCACAGTACTTGATGTTTTATTTGATGTACCTGTGCTTGTTTTGGGGTTTTAATAAATATTCTGGTAAATATCTAAGGTTTGGTCAATATTTCGCTAAATCAAATTAATTACTTATTTGAATGCAAACATCCCAATTAAATTAAAGATAAATTCACAATTGTGAAGTAATAATAAAGCAAAATAAGCTGAATTTGTGAGTGGTGCCATACGAATAATATTTTTTTATATCCATACTACTGAAAGGTAACTAAAAACAATAAGCCTCACCTTTTCAAAAGCCATTCTCTGTCAGTGCAAAAGCCAAACACAATGTTTCTCCCAAAATATCTTCAACATAGCATGCTGGAGTCCTGGGTTTGGGAGCATAAAAGCAGAAGCTAATGCATCAAAGCAACGCCCGTTACATAACAGGCAGAGAAACATAGCAAATGACCCGCCGTCTACACTAGTAAAACCATAATGTCACCAGTACCTCGCGAGTCTGTACACCCATCACAGATTCTCAGCAAAGCAAAACAAAACCTCAATCTACCCATCTGTGCCAACACCCACGTAATCCTAGTGCCCTATTGGCCGACCCGACAGGGCGACCCGCCTTCTAGCCTTCCTGGCAGGCCAGGAGACCTGCCAATCACAGGAGCTGCTTCATCATAAACAGCCTGTTTCAATCTAGGTTGAGGCAGAAGATAAACAACTTGGAGGCCTACATGCCCGTGGCCTAGATATCAGCATTTAAGATATCTCCAAATTCAAATCGGCCTCCTAGCATCAAAATCGGACCCACCACGGCGATAAACGCGAATCTGTGACATCTGTTCTTAGGAAGAAACACCGATTGGGATATTTGTCAGCCGAAACAGGGTAGATAACGTGTCAAACAGGTTGCTTGGGTGAACATTCACACTGATATACAATCCCTAATCAAATAAATACCAGCCCTACCTCTTCCGCGTGCTATTGAACTCAGACGGTGTGTACATATCGGACTGTGTCGAGCTTCTCTCGTACAGCAATGACTGTGTTCAGTGTTGGGGGGCGTGTACCTTAGGAGACCTCAGGCTGCAAAAAGTCGGTGATGGGCATGACACTGGCCCACTGAACCGTTTTCTACATGAACTACACTTCAAATCTATTCGAAAACGTTCAACGAGATATGCCATGGGCATGTTGTATATAGGTAAAAAGATAGTTGAAAACTTAAGTGCAAGCCAATCCTCTTACATAAGAGCAGTTTTTAAACATACTAATCCAGAATCGAGCGAATACTTTACAGCATCCTGAACCTTACATGCACGAGGACACGCCAAACAAACTAAATCATATAAAGGTTTTTGTTTTTTGACATAGGCTTTAATGCACAGTAAACGAAACCTATATCGGATCGCCGTGAAACGTTTGCTTGTGACAATATGCACTTGCTGGGACCTCTCCGTTATCAGCTATGAGCAAAAAGCGACATATCGGGCATGTTGGCTAGTAGTTAGCAGACGATTATAATGCGGAAATAGCAAGTATTGCTTTCTTTTCAACCGCAGCTCAACCAGTATGGCCTCCGTCCGCCCCCTTCCTCATCCCAGCAGAAGCCTAATACACAACAACAACCAGTTAGCTTCAAAGCTAATCCACCGCCGCGGTGAAAACACACACTCACAGCTCGGCAAAGTTCCCGGAAACTGGGTCAAACACAGGCCCACTTACTTTTAAGGCATCCCGTCTACGTCTCCAAGTCTTGGACCTCGTGTATGTTTCCGTGCTGGAGATAATATGGTTCCCTTTTCAATGGAGTCCACACGCTCTTAAAGCTCTCTCGGGTTTGTTTTGTTTTTCTCCTTCCTGACGGGTTTCTGGAAAGCGCGTGACTACCCTGACCACGTGGTGCGCCGTGGAGCCAATGGGAGCAGAGCTCCTTTTGCCTTTTGCAACCTATCACCGTTTTTAATTGAAAATTATCTGTTAGATGAAATTTACAACAACTAAAGAGGTCATACAGATATGCTCAGAGTAACATTGAGCGTTATCTTTTAATCGAAAGCCGCGAATTAATACTTATTTAAAATCTCAAGAATTCAGTTTCTATTTACTTCACGTCCAGTTGCCTAATTGGACTTTTCAAGCTTGACTATGGACAGGATGACTGAGAATCCAATTTCAATTAGCTGTAAAACCCCTCATTGAAAGGGCATTTTCGCTCTTTTCCATATCTATCTATCTATCTATCTATCTATCTATCTATCTATCTATCTAT